CAGTATCAGGGTCTTTTCCAATGAGTCAACTCTTCACATGAGGTGGCCAAAGTATTGGAGTTTCAGCTTCAGCATCAGTCCTTCCAACAAATAGACTTAGTGACTCATAGACTCAGAGAATGAACTTATGGTTTCCAGGATGGGGAGGATGGGGGGAAAGGATAGTTAGGGAGTTTGGGATCAACATGCACACACTGCTATATTTAAAGTAGATAATCAGCCAGGTCCTACTGTCTAGCACAGGGAACCCTGAGCAGTTTTATGTGGCAGTCTGGATGGCAGAGCACTTTGGGGGAGAACGAATACATGTATACGTATGGCTCAATCCCTTTGTTGTCCACCTGAAACTGTCACAATATTTTAATCAGCTATACTCCAATATAAAATAAAAAGATTTTTTAAAAATAAAACCAAAAAGCCTGTTTGTGGCTTGTTAAAAAAACAACTTGAATATGAGTGATTAACTGTGTAAAATACAATAATGTAAGTTTATTACCTCAGTATTTCAAAATGTTTCTCTAGAGAAATTTTCAAACAAATACCAGAGTAGTTAGAACAGTGTAATAAATCCCCACATATCCATTTCCTAGCTTCAACAAATAAGTCATACCCAAACTTCCTTCATCTATACTCCCAACATTTCTCCCTCTCATTATTTTGAAGAAAATTGGAGACATCATATCATTTGACTTGTATTTAATTCCGTAAGCACATCGAGCACAAAGGTCAAGTTTTTTCTGACTTAACTCTGTGTGGCGTCTAGAACCACAATGTCTACAAACACTCACAGTTCCTATATGTCATCCTTCTCAACCAGCAAGAGCATGTATCCTAACTGAGAGGTCTGGGAACGTCTCCATCTTCCCCCCTTCACCAACATACCTCCCCGAGATTGCAGACTCTGTACCTACCACATCAGGGTTGCAATAGCTTCTCCATGATGGGAAAAAAATTAAAAGTCCTCTGGAAACTATCATACTTATGACAGCTTGCCAAATTACCAGCCATAATTAAATATTAATCATTAACGCCCTTAGCAAAGTCTGTCTCAGAGGGCAATATGCATTTTACTTCCTAATAGTTACAAGAAAGTTGGGATCTTAAAAATATTTATTTACAGATACAGTCATGCAACAGACTGGAATATCAAGGGCTCTAAACTCATGATTTGTATATTGAGAAGAGTTAATAGGATCTGTATCTAGTCCTTAGGTATAATTCAGAAAAATTAATTGTTGTGAAATACTAGCCTGATTTCCTACGGTCGCATTATAAGATATAAAACTCTGCCAATATAAAGCATAAAACTTGGTGTAATAGAGATAGCAAATGCTCCTGTTCTTACACAAACATGTGGAATTCTTCTAAATATGAATTTTTCTATGGCAACAAACAAGTAGATTGGGTAACTGAACCCATATTAATAACCTTACTGTATCATATTTTAATTTAAATGTAAAATCTCAAAAACTTATAAATACTAGCCAAAAATCTGTGGAATAACACATAGACAAAACTATATCTCTAAAAAATTAAAAATTATTTTAATAACTTTCATGAGATTTTAATATTTCACTTAAACTAAGTTGGTTCAAGTCATAAGGAAGAATTGTGTTAAAGAGAACAAAATTTTCATGTTTAGCAACTGTACTTTATATTCCTTTCTAATTATAAAACTCAATTTAAATAATGTGTCTGTCTACCTTTATCACATATGTTAGTATATAAAACTCTTAGCTGAAACTAACTCAGGGCAAAACTTGTACAATTTAAACAGTACTCTGTCCCAATGACTGCAGTCAAACAACCCTTTCCCTCATGGAGCAACAACAAAAAACCACATTGTCTTTGTGAACACACATATATAAAAAGAACCCAGTTCATGAGTTTATAGAAAGTTCCTCACTGCAAATTTTAGCTGGGACATCTGTGTACAGGGTAATTTTCAGCTCTATAATAAATAGCAGGGTATGCAGTCATTTTTGATGAACTCTCAATGAGTGTTGACTGATGCATATTTGAATGGATAAAAATATAAGTAAGAACTGTCCATACATATACCATAAAGTGCATGAAGTAGGTTTAACTTGGTCTTGTAATGTTTACTTTCATAACTGAAGTCTAAAACATAGTATTATTTAAAAAAAATATGACCCAGCAATCCCACTACTAGGCATATACCCTGAGAAAACCATAATTCAAAGCGACACATGTACCCCAGTGTTCATTGCAGCATTATTTATCATTGCCAGGAAGAACCTAAATGTCTAATGACAGATGAACGGATTAAAATGTGATATATATAATGGAGTATTACTAAGTCATAAAAAGGAATGGAATTGGGTTATTTGTAGAGATGTGGATGGACCTAGAGTCTGTCATAACTGGGTTAAGTAAGTCAGAGAAAAACGAATATATATTAACACATATATGTGGAATCTAGAAAAATGGTACAGATAAACCTGTTTCTAGGGCAGGAATAGAGATGCAGACAGTGAAAATGACATGATGTGGACATGGGTGGGGGCAGGGCAGGACAAACTGAGAGATTATGTTTGATGCATAAACACTACCATGTGTAAAGTGGGAACTTGCTATAAAGCATAGGAAGCTCAGCTTGGTGCTCTGTGATAACCTAAATGGGTGGGATGGAGGTGGGGGTGGAGGTGGAGGTAGGAGGAAGATCCAAAAGGGAGGGCATATATATACATATTTATATATATACACATATACGGCTGACGCACTTCACTGCACAGCAGAAGCTAACACAGCATGGTAAAGCCGTTATACTCCAATGAAAACAAATGCTGTTTACCGTTTATAAGAGAGAAATAATATTATATCATCTTATTTTAGATATTTGCAAAAAAAAAAATCTATTGGTTTCAGAGAAAAAAAAAACAAGCCACTAATACAAGTAAATTCCAAAATCTTCAGAAAGAATGTGCAGGGACTTTGCATGTGCCTGTTCTTAGGTTTTTATTTTTTTGTTTGTTTGCTTGCTTTAATCATACGCAAATCTCAGTTCAATTCAAGGATCCGGATTGAATCAACGAAGATGTTTCTGTGATTTTTCCAATCCCTTCGATTTAACGTGATGAAGGAAATAATCTAAATGCTTCAGGGTATGGTATAAATTTTTTTTGGTCAGGGAATTTGAATGAGGCGGAGCAAACAAATTCCGTTCCTCGGATCCCCACTGGTGAGACCACACCCCCAGCTCAAGTGAGTTTGGAGGTCAACACACCTGCAGTGGCTTCCGGTCCAATGGTGGAGGCAGGGTGCGGCCACAAGGCACTGCACACACTCCTTCCTGTGCCTGGAATTGTTCTGCTCATGCTGTCAGTATGGAGACGTGTGGGAAAGATCCGGCTTCTGTGCAAGCTTCTGCAGGTGAAATCCACTGAGGGCTTTAGGAGGGAGCAGCTGTAGCTTTAGGAAGGCTGGAGCAGAGTCTGTCACACTGACCTTACCCAGGGAGAGAGACGCCCCCATTCACCGGGTCAGACGCAAACTCTATAGTATCTATTCTAAGTTTCTAGAGAAGACCTAAAGCCAGGCAATGACAGCGAAAGTTAAACGCTTTGTTTAGTCTTAGGACATTACAATTAGGGGAGGGGGGCTTCAAAATCATCTATCCACCTACATTCATTTCATTCATTTCCCTAAATTGTATCTCCAAAAGTATAAGTGTCTTATTCCTGCTTTAAATATTTGAGATTTTGTGGTTGTATGAAGAATTTTAATTGTCTTATAAAATATGACCCTTTAACAGGATAAACTTAGTCCCCCAAAAAGCATAGAACAGAGATTCTGAAGAGTGACTTATCCATATCATTGTTCTCATGCAAATCAAAACCACAATGAGATATCATCTCATACTTATTAGAATAGTTATCATCAAAAAGACAGGATAACAAGTGCTGGTGAGGATGTGGAGAAATGAGAACACTGGTGCACTATTGATGGGAATGTATGTTGGTACAGCATCTGTGCAAAACAATATGGAGGTTCCTCAAAAAAATTAAACATAAAACTACTCTCTGATCCAGCAATTTCATTTCTGGGTATATATTCAAAAGAAATGAAATCACTGTCTCAGGGATATCTGCCCTCTCATGTTCATTGAAGCATTATTCACAATAGCCAAGATGTGGAAAAACCTAAGTGTCCATCAATGGATCAACGAATAATGAAGAAAATAAGAACACGTAACATCATGGATAGAGCTTGAGGGCAATGTGCTAAGTGAAATAGCCAAAAAAGACAAATGCTGCATGGTATCACTTACATGTGGAACCTTAAAGAAAAAAAAGTCAAACTCATAGAAAAGAGAGTGGAAAAGTAGTTACCAGAGGCTGGAGGGTGGAAGGATGAGGTAAATAGAAGAGGTTGGTAAATGGATGCAAACTTTCAGTTGTAAGATGAGTAAGTTCTGAAGACCTAATTTAAAACATGGTGACTGTAGTTGATAATGCTATACTGTATAATTGACATTTATTTTTTAAAAGTAGAACTTAAATGTTCTCACCAAAAAGAAGATTTTTTTTTCATTTTTAAACATTGTTTTTTATCACTAGTATGACTTACTATTATGTACATACATTTTTCTTTTCAGATAAATTATTCATGGAGATTGCAAATATGCTTTATGTGTACGTTAGGATGAAAGAAAATGTGCCAAGGCAGGTGCAAGTGCTAAAACAACACTTTCCAGTTTCCCTTTGTTTCCTTTGTTGAAAAAAGAAATCACTCCTGAAAAAAGCCTCTGAGCAAAGCCTCTAGTGGCAATTTCTGGAATGGTATTAAACAGATTGCTGTACAGAGGGGAAAAAGAGGCAAGGCAAGGTGGATCGTGGTGTCAATCGTAAAGTGACATGTCAGCGGAGGAGGCGTTTCTCCTGTGAGTTCTATAAAAGGTCAGCTCATCCGCGACCAAGAGACGGACTCTGCTCCATCCATCCTGAAGCTACAACAGCTGCTTCCTCCTAGAGCCCCCAATGGATTTCAATCAGAGAAGCTCCCACCGAAGCCTGAGTTCCTCCTCCCAGGGCCCTGCGCTCAGCATGAGCAGCTCCATATATAGGAGGGGGGTCACACCCAGCGTGTATGGGGGTGCTGGAGGCCACGGCACCCGCATCTCGACGTCTAGACACATGGTAAACTATGGGAGTGACCCTGCTGGAGGAAACCTGTTTGCTGGCAATGAGAAGATGACCATGCAGAACCTAAATGACCGCCTAGCAAGCTACCTAGAAAGAGTGCGGTCACTGGAGCAGTCCAACTCCCACCTTGAACTGCAGATCAAGCACTGGTATGAAACCAACACACCTAGCACCAGTCGGGACCACAGTGCCTATCTGGAACAAATCAAAGAGCTGCGGGATCAGGTGAGACAGGATACCTCTGCTTTCTTCTCCACTGTCCAGGTGTATCATACATCAAGAAGGGCATATATGTTGGGTGGTCCAAATGGGCACTGCAAAGAAAATTAGGTTTAAATGCCAGATCTATAAAAGTGGCATAGTTTTATATGCAATATTTTATATGCCATCTACCCTTATTGCTGGAGAACCTGACTACATAATAGGATGACTTTAAGGTATGTGTGTGTGTGTGTGTGTTTAGTTGCTCAGTTGTGTCCCAGTCTTTGCGACCCCATGAACTGTAGCCTGCAAGGCTCCTCTGTCCATAGGATTTTCAAGGCAAGAATACTGGAGCAGGTTGCCCTCCAAATGAATATGCCCTCCTCCAGGGGATCTTCCCAACCCAGGGATTGAACCTGAGTATCCTGCATTACAGGCAGAATCTTTACCGTCTGAGCCCCCAGGGAAGCTCCACAAGTGTCAGAATACTGGATCATAAATTTCAATGATGAAATGATTCAAGGTGGTAATGGGGTTGGGGCATAGGTCTAAATGATATCTGGGTTTTAAAATGCTTTTAAAACGTTTAATAATCTGATCATCATCACCAAGCAGTTCAGAAACCATTTCAACAGTCATAAAATGTTTTATTGCCCCAATTCAAATTTATTGCAATCATACCTGCTCCCATGTCATACCAGAAAGGTGGAGCGCTCCATTTTATCAATAATGTGAATAAAAGAAGACTTTGCTCCTAACTGAAGATGTTAAATGTGACACAGAACACTTACTCCATTTTAAAATTCTTATCTAATCAAGAAAATTGTTCCTTTCATTTTAATTTCTATTTTAACATTCCTTTTTCTTTAGAGCAAAGGCCACTTACTTGCCAGCAAGTCTCTCTTTTCTTGCATTATATTAAACATCAGTGCAATTTGATTCTGATTCTACAGGAAGTTATTTTGGGATTTCTGGAACTGTGGGGATGTGAAGGCAAAGGTGTTTAAATTGCCCCTCTGCCAACAGCTCATTTTTCTCAGGCTCCCACTAAAATATTCAAAATCAGCCAACCATTCTCCCACAGCCATCACATGATTCATGTTTGTGAAGCTATTTCAGGCCATCCTAAACACATAGGCACAGCCAAATGTTCTGTTTACCTGAGCAGGCCCAGTATATGAAAGAAGACCGCTCTCTCCAGGGCTAGATCTACTGAAAGAGACATGCCTTTGTAGCATCTTTAACAAGCAGACTTCTGATCTGTATGCATCTTAGGGGATTCACCCACTAGGTAACCACTTCTTAAGATCAGGGACTTTGCCATCGCAATAGCCCCAGTGCCTACAAGTTAACACCACATAGCAAGTGTGCATTCATTCAGCCAGTATTTAGCAGACACTAAGTGCTGGCCCTGGGGAATATGATGGTGAACATAATGTGACTTGTGTGCTGTGCTTAGTCGCTCAATCATGTCCAACTCTTTGAGACCCCATGGACTGTAGCCCTCCAGGCTCCTCAGTCCATGGTGATTCTCCAGCCAAGAACACTGAAGTCGGTTGCCATGCCCTCCTCCAGCGGATCTTCCCAACCCAGGGATCAAACCCAGGTCTCTCACATTGCAGGCAGATTCTTTACCATCTGAGCCACCAGGGAAGCCCTGATGTGCTTTAGGGGGAAACAAATCTGGACAAAGGCAACATTGTCCCATGTGGAAGGATAAAGGAGGGCTATGTGGGGCTGTGAAAGCACAGGCACTTCATCCAACTCTGTTGTGAGAAAACCAGTGAAGTCTTCCTTGAAGCAATGATGTCGAGGCTGAGAGGAGGGAGGAATTCACCAAGAGAAAGGGGCTAAGAGGAAGGTTCTAAGCAGGAACATCAAAGACAAGGCTCTCAGTAAGGTCTGATGGCTCAAGTTGAATTAAGCTCTTCATTTGTAGAGACATAAGGAAACTGACCAAACCCTCAGGACTCAAGCTGCATTTTATGAATCTATTGTGTTAAAGCTCCAACCCAATATTTATCCTTTCTATTTTCATGTAGCAATCCTTGAGATGAACAACGTCTTCAGTATAAGAAAGGCTGTATCTGAGGATCAATTCAATCATTTTAGACTTCTGTCCAGTTGAAAATGTCACTCTTTCTGGTGTATTTTCCAGATTAAAGATGCTCAACTGCAGAATGCTCGACGTGTCCTGCAAATTGATAATGCTAAACTGGCTATCGAGGACTTCAGGCTGAAGTAGGTTCTCTGATACCATGCTGACACTTCCTGAAAAGGAGGGCCTTTCAGTGGTCCTTCATGACACTTGACTCCCCACAGCACTATTGGCAAAGGAGCTCCCACTGAATAGTATCAGAGCCTTGGAGTTAAAAGGGTGTTAGAAGCTTTCTGATCTATCATCAGGACTGGACTTCTCCTCCCATAGTCCTAAGATATGGTCACCCAGAGTGTAAATGAACACCTCCAGTAATTACTACTGTTCTCCTTGGTCAGCTCTGATTGCTAGAACGTTCTTTTTAGTTCTACCTTTTCACCTACTGAAACTAATTCTGCCCTTTGGAGTAATAGGAAGGCAGTTTACAACTTCCCTTCTGCCTGTATCCTTCTGTTATCTAAAGAGGGTCATTTATCTACCCTTAGTGATTCTCTGAGTCATCCATGTTCCTTCAAGTAAATGACCAAAGTTCCAGGGGTGACTCTTAATCCTTCCAGTTTGATAGTGTTTTACAGTAAGGTCTGACCAGCCAAAGAACCAGGTTGATTAAAGCCGTTCAAGTTGTGTTCACTTTCTTGTAGTCACATCACATTACATGCGATCAGAGCTGTTCCTCATAACTGCTTCCACACTAGGGCTTCCTTGTCCTGAATTTGTACAACACATTGGCACTGAAGAGCCTTTTGTGGTTTTAAAAGTGCAGCATTATAATGCAATAAGGGATCAAAAAGAAAGAAATTAGAAAGCAGATCTGGAAATTAAAGCAGTAAAAGTTCATTAATTCCAGTCAGCATCTGGGAGTCTCATTGCATTATCATTTCTTAAAGTTTACTATTTTAATAAAATTGGGAATATATAAGATCATAGAAGATAATTCATTTTGGATGCATCTTTTTACAAAGTAATAAAAATAAACCGGACATGTGCATTCATTAAGTAAATCTAACTAACCATTTTTTAGTTAACTTTTTTTAACTTTTTATTTTATATTGGAGTGTAGCCAATTAACAATGTTATGATGGTTTCAGGTGGACAGCAAAGGGATTCAGCCATACATATACATATATCCATTCTCCCCCCAAACTCCCCTCCCATCCAGGCTATCACATAACATTCAGCAGAGTTCTCTGTGCTAACCAACAAGTAGGAACTTGTTGGTTATCCATTTTAAATACAGCAAGGTACATGTCAATTCCAAACTCCCTAACTATTCCTTCCCCCTATCTTCACCCCTGGCAACCATAAATTCATTCTCTAAGTCTGTGAGTCTGTTTCTACTAACCATTATTTAATATCAATAATGTGAATCCTTTGCTAACACAGTAATTAGAGCAAATTTTAACTTTTAAAAAAATATATTCCAGAATTTAGGAAATTTTAAAAGTAATTTCAGAGTGGTTATTTTACCAATCACTCCAAATCACAGAGACTACACTTATGAAGCAAATGATCTGAGTTCAAATTTCTCCAGAACATTTTCAAATGTATAGAGACACAATGATGTATTGAAACTGATCTCTTATACCACATAAAGATTGATCTTATTATCATTTTAAGATCATCTCTTCTATAATGGCTTAAAAAGAACTCAATTATCTCTCCTTACTACTTAATTCACAGGTATGAAGCTGAGCAGGGGATTTGCCAAACAGTGGTGGCTGATCTTAATGGCCTGAAAAGGGTCTTTGATGACTTAATTCTAACAAAGGCAGACTTGGAGATTCAAATTGAAGAGCTAACTAAAGACCTGCTTGTTCTCCAAAAAGAACATGAGGAGGTGAGAAAATATTCAGAAGCAGTGTTGGAAATGATAGAATGGCTCTAATAATAATGAGGAGGAGGAGGAAAAAGAGGAAGATGTGGTGATTGTGGTGGTGGTGAAAAAGATGACAATGAGATAGATATGAGCCTTAACATCTTTTCAATGAGGCTGCTGCCAGGTTTAAATGACTTGGAGCAGTCACTGGACCATAATAAGCCTTAACTAAGTTGTTTTCTTTCTCTATTACTCGTCCCCAAGGAAAGAAGCCTTAAGACTTACTATGTCTTTTCTGCATAGCCTCATCTGGGAATGTACTTCAGACTATAATCAATTGGAATTTTCACCCCCATAGGAAGTGAGGGGCCTACGTGCTCATCTGGGCAATAATGTAAGTGTAGAGGTGGATGCAGCTCCAAGCCTGAACCTCAGTGCCATCATGAATGAAATGAGGCAGAAATATGATGCCATGGCCCAGGAGAACCTTCAGAAAGCCAAAGAACAGTTTGAGATACAGGTAATAGCATAATTCTAATGGATAAGCAAACATGAGGAAGCTGTCTTCCAAAAACAGATAACTCATTTCCTTCCTTCCTTCCTCTCTCCCTCCATCCCTCCCTCCATTCATTCCTCCCTTTATTCCTTATTTTCTTTCTTTCATTCCTTATTTTTTTTTTCATTTTGGAACTTTAGATTAATGATCTGCAAAAGCAAGTCACAGTGAGCACTGAAGAGTTAAAAGGAACCCAGGATCAAATAAAAGAGCAGAGACACACCTACCAAGTCCTGGAAATAGAGCTCCAGTCCCTGCTCAGCATGGTAAAGCACATCTAACTGTCAACTCTCATGGGGCATGTGTTTACTAAGCACCTGTATCAGGAACTCTAGAAATGCAAATACCTATAAGAAATAATCCCTCCCTTTGCAGAGCAGTAAGGGAAACACATCAAACAACTGATGATAATGAAAAGACAGAAAGAAGTCAAAGTAAAGGACAAGACACTGCAAGAATACAGAGGCCAAAGTAGAGTTGGAGGATGTCACAGG